GCAAAATGTCTTCTTTTCAATCCTTAGCTTTAATTTTTCTATGTAGTTTTGCTTCATGATTAATGTATAGGGTTAAAATTTAGTTAAAAATAATTTAAAAAATTCGATTTAATTGAGAAATTAATTCTGCCTCTAAAGTTTGTTATCTATTAATTAAACAAAATACAAAGGATTTTATTATTAATATATTGAAAAACTAATAAGTTACACCAGAGTTAATATTCTAACTAACATTTTTCACCACATTATAGAGAGGTGTTTATAATGTATTGAGTTTGTAAAAAAAGAAATATAAGAAGTATTATATTTTTATATTATTATAATAATATATACAAAATTTCATTTATTCCTATCAAATTTTCTTTATTATATCTTATACAAAATTAGTATTGATTGACTTTTACTAATATAAAAGCAATTCTTCAATATTCATAACCACTTTAATTCACATCATATATCTCTTTTTTACCTCTATGTAATGCCCAATTTTTAACATGCATTATGCATTTTTAAAGTTATGTTTATCTATTATTTTATTATTTAATTTTTCATTATATAAGAAATGATCTAGATATGTCTTGCATAATTTAAAATTAAATTAAAGTGAACAATTTTTAATTTAAAATAAAAAATACTAATCTATTAAGATACCATTATCATGTATTTTAAATTTTAATTATCACAATGTTATTCAAAAAAATCAAACTTAATTGCTGAAATTTTTAATTACTCAAAATTTAAAATTTAATTACTTAAAAGTTACAATTTTTTAAGTTCAAAAGTTTATTCATTAATTAAACCTCAATTTTTCTATATAATATCTTTTAATAGTGTGTCCCACTTACAAATAAAAAAACTCTACAAGTTTTTATAAAATTACTAAAAAATCATAATTTCAAATAACTAAAATATCCTAAAATCTTAAATAATTTATAAAATTACCACCTCTTCGACTTTCTAATTAAAAAAGAACACAAAAAAAGAAAAAAATTTATTGACTTTCTATCCCCTTATACCACGTTAGATTCTGCCCGTAACTATTGTAGTCTTTTTATTCATCATCTCCTTTTTCAACTT